GCTTCGCTTGAGCAGGAAGATACGCCCATGGCGGATGCTGAGCTGGAAGGTGCCACCACCGAGGAGCTCAAGGCTTACCTCACCGCCTGTGGGTTGGAGACGCTCGCAGGTGACACGGATGATGATGTTGAGCTTCGCGATGCAGTCAAGCGTTGCCTCGAGCCCCCTTTTTGGCAGGACGTCAAGCGCCGTCGAACGGCAGGTGCAGGCGCAGGTGGTGCCACTGTCCATTGACATGGCGACGCTTCCAGTCCATGGCTCGGATAGCCAAGATGAGCGTGTCCGCTCTGGCGCTGCAGTGCATGCCCGGTGCCCCCAGGTGGAAGGGCCTTCTGCTTGCGAGGCCCGCAGCGGAGGGGTGGCCGATGCCCTCGCGCACGGTGTTACTCCTGGCGGCATGGTGAGGCGCTGCGACGCTCGCCCCGTTGCCCTCCCTGTAAGGCCGAGCGAGGCCCACCGCGGTGGGGTGGCCGATGCCGTCGCGCACGTTCTCCCACCTAACACGGCTGGCGGCGATGACGAGCATGTCAGCCCCCCTGCCCCCTGTCTCCAGACATGGTCTGGCCCGTCCTGGCCGGCCACCGGGGGCGACAACAGTGCTTCCGGGGCCGCCGCCCGCGCCTCCGGGGCCGCCGCCGAGGCCCCCGGGGCCGCCCAAGGAGGGTGCATAACTGACGCCTCAAGTCATACGCCGCCGCGGCATGCCAGGCGCCCTCTCAAGGCCGTCTTGGGGCCCGTCTGCAGGGGCTGCCAACGCGGCCTCCGGGGCCGCCGCCCAGGCCCCCGGGGCCGCCGCCGAGGCTCCCGAACCGCCCGAGGAGGACACATAACCGACGGCTCAAGTTATATACGCCCCCGGGGCACGCCCCTCGGGGCCCGTCCGGGGCCGCCAACACGGCCTCCGGGGCCGCTGGCGAGGCCCAGCGTGGCCCGTATGCCCAAGGGAAAGGGCCTGCTAGCAAGGCCCACAGCGGTGGGGTGGTCGCAGACCTCGCACATGCAGTTGCTCCTGGCGGCCTGGCGAGGTGCTGCGACGCTCGCCCCGTCGCCCTCCCTGCAAGCCCGAGCGAGGCCCACAGCGGTGGGGTGGCCGATGCCTTCGCACACGAAGTTCCCCTTGGCGGCCTGGCGAGGCGCTGCGACGCTCGCCCCGTCGCCCCCCTGTAAGCCCGAGCGAGGCCCACCGCGGTAGGTGGCCGATGCCCTCGCACATGGTGTTGCTCCTGGCGGCCTGGAGAGGAGTTGCGACGCTCGCCCCGTCGCCCTCCCTGTATGCCCGAGCGAGGCCCACCGCGGTGGGGTGGTCGAAGCCCGCGCACATGGCGTTGCTCCTGGCGGCCTGGAGAGGAGTTGCGATGCTCGCCCCATCGCCCCCCCTGCAAGCCCGAGCGAGGCCCGCAGCGCTGGGGTGGCCGATGCCCTCGCACATGGTGTTGCGGAAGGCGGCATGGAGAGGAGTTGCGACGCTCGCCCCGTTGCCCTTCTTGCATGGCCGATGCTGAACAACTTACCGCGGGATGCGCAGAGAAGCCAGGTTCCAGGACAGAAACTTCGACGCCGACGACCCGTTCTGCCCGAGGATGCCCCGTGTCCAGCGGTTGACACAGCGAAGAGGCCTGGGCTCCAGATAGTCACAGTCAACGCCAACTCGTACGGGACGCTGATGCGGTACCTCAATACCGTCGAGGCCGATATCGTGCTGGCTCAGGAGACGCGCGCGATTGACGTGAAGCT